ACTATCTCTCTCCCTTCCTCTCTGTACAAAATCAATAAAATATATTTAAAAAAAAACACAAAACAAGCATGAATGAATGATGGATGGGTAAATCCATGGATTGATGAATGAATTCATGGGTGCAGGAATGGCTGTGATGAATGGATGGACTATGGCTGCTACACAGAAGGATGGGCGGGCCACTGCATGATGGGTGAATGCAGCATGGATAAGTGGCGTGAATTGGTGGGTGAATCAGTGGATGGATGTGCCAGAGAGGGGGTGTGACTGAATAGCCTTCTCCCGTAGCTGCCCATTGTGGCCTCCTCCATCGTGTCCCTGTACTTCCTGGAGCTGACCGACCTCTTTAAGCCGGCCAAGGTGGGTTTCCAGTGCTACGACCGCACGCTCTCCATGCCCTACGTGGAGACCAACGAGGAGCTCATTCCACTGCTCATGCTGCTCAGCTTGGCTTTCGCTGCCCCTGCAGCCTCGGTGAGTCCCAGAGTCCAAGGGTCACGGCCAGCCTGTGGGCACCCCCGGCCAGGATCCAGCTGAGCCACCCCCCTGTCGGCAGATCATGGTGGGCGAGGGCATGCTGTACTGTCTGCAGTCTCGGCTCTGGGGCCGCGGAGGTGGCCCAGGTGGGGCTGAGGGCAGCATCAATGCTGGCGGCTGCAACTTCAACTCCTTCCTCCGGCGCACCGTGCGCTTTGTGGGTAAGTCCCCGGAAAGCACCCCAACCTTCCCCCTGTCGATAGCCAGGAGTGGGCGGGTCCCGGCCCCCTGGACCGGCGGCCCTGACCCTTTCACCTGCAGGAGTCCATGTGTTCGGCCTGTGTGCCACGGCCTTAGTGACAGACGTCATCCAGCTGGCCACGGGCTACCATGCACCCTTCTTCCTGACCGTCTGCAAGCCCAATTACACCCTGCTGGGCACCTCCTGCGAGGCCAACCCCTACATCACGCAGGATATCTGCTCTGGCCAGGACACCCATGCCATCCTGTCCGCAAGGTGAGCGGGCCCAGCCCCTGTGCCGTTCAGTAGGGAGAAACTGAGGCACAGAGGGGTCTCAGATACAGCAGGGCTTACACGGGTGACTCTTACAGGAAGACCTTCCCATCCCAGCACGCCACGCTGTCGGCCTTCGCTGCGGTCTATGTGTCCGTGAGTCCCCAGGCCCAGGATCTGCTCATCCTACCGCCCCTCCCCTCCCCCTGCTAGGATCGCCCACACCCACCCGATCCTCCTTCACTCCACCCACCTCCGCCCCAGCTTCCCTGGACCCGCCCCACCTCCGCTACTGCCCCACGCCCTGACTGCTGCCCCGTCCCCAGATGTACTTCAACTCTGTCATCTCCGATACGACCAAGCTGCTCAAGCCCAGCCTGGTGTTCGCTTTCGCCATCGCAGCGGGTGTCTGCGGTCTCACCCAGATCACACAGTACCGAAGCCACCCCGTGGACGTGTATGCGGGCTTCCTCATCGGTGCTGGCATCGCCGCCTACCTGGTGAGAGACTGACCAGGGAGGCCGGCAGCCACTGGGCAGGTCTGAAGGAGCAGGCTAGCCCCCACGGGGGAGGTCAGAGGAGGGGAGGAACAGGTGCCAAGGCCTAGCTCTGTTCTGAGGAGACTTTGATAAGACCTTTGCTTTCCCTTAAAACCCCCAAGTCTTTGCCCTGTGGGGTCCCTGACCTGGCCTCACAGCCATCCTGAAATCTCACCTCCAGGCCTGCCATGCAGTCGGCAACTTCCAGGCCCCACCCACAGAGAAGCCCACAGCCCCAACACCTGCCAAAGATGCACTTCGGGTGCTGACCCAGCGGGGCCACGACTCGGTGTACCAGCAGAACAAGTCTGTGAGCACGGATGAGCTGGGCCCTCCAGGGCGGCTGGAGAGTGTGCCTGGGCCCGTGGCCCGTGAGAAGACCTCACTGGGCAGCCTGAAGCGGGCCAGCGTGGACGTGGACCTGCTGGCTCCACGTAGCCCCATGGGCAAGGAGAACATGGTGACTTTCAGCCACACGCTGCCCCGTGTCAGCACGCCCTCGCTGGATGACCCTGCCCGCCGCCACATGACCATCCACGTGCCACTTGACGCCTCACGCTCCAAACAGCTCATTAGTGAGTGGAAACAGAAGTCACTGGAAGGCCGTGGCCTGGGGCTGCCTGATGAGGCCAGCCTGGGGCATATGCTGGTGCCTGCAGAGCCCATGGCAGAGGAGGAAGAGGAGGAGGAGGAAGAGGAGGAGGGAGGAGAGGAAGAGGGCCCAGCTCCACCCTCACTCTACCCCACAGTCCAGGCAAGGCCAGGCCTTGGGCCTCGGGTCATCCTTCCACCGAGGCCTGGGCCGCAGCCACTGGTACACATCCCTGAGGAGGGGGCGCAGGCAGCAGCTGGCCTGTCACCCAAGGGCAGCGTGGCCGTGCGGGCCAAGTGGCTCATGATGGCTGAGAAGAGCGGGGCCCCAGTGGCCCCAGCCTCGACCCAGCCCCGCATGGCCAACCCGCCCCGACTGCTGCAGGTGATCGCCATGTCCAAGGCACCCGGTGGACCTGGCCCCAAGGCGGCTGAGACAGCCTTGTCCTCCAGCTCCAGTTCCGACTCCTCACAGTACAGGTCGCCATCAGACCGCGACTCGGCAAGCATCGTCACCATTGATGCACACGCGCCTCACCATCCTGTGGTCCACCTGTCTGCTGGCAACGGGCCCTGGGAGTGGAAGGCTGCTGGCAGTGGGACCAAGGGGCTGGAGGGCGAGGGCACTTACGAGCTAGGAGACCTGGCTCATGGCTTCCGCGGTGGGCCCAAGCCACTGGGTGTGTCTCCTGGCTCATCTGTCAGTGATGTAGACCAGGAGGAGCCAAGGTTTGGTGCTGTGGCTACAGTCAACCTGGCCACAGGAGAGGGGCTGCCCCCACTGGGCACAGACAGTACTCTGGGGCCAGCCAGCCGGGAATCAACGCTGAGGCGCAAAGCGGTTGGCCTGGCACTGGGTGAGCGGGATCCTGCCTCTTGTGAGTCAGAGGCTGAAAGCTACTACCATAAGATGCAGGCAGCCCGCAGATTCAAGGACTGAGCGCCCAGGGGTTCAGCAGGCTGGGGTGAGGGTGGGGTGGGGTGCAACAGCATGGGGGTACTGGGGAAAGAGGGCAGAGTAGAAGCATTTTGCAATCAGACAATAAAAATTTGAATTGGAGTCCTGGCTGCAAAGTCATCCTGATCTGAGGGTCCACCATGTAGGCAGCCCTCACCCCACATACAGGCCCCATGGTCCTGGGCTGGCTGCAGGCTCTTGGGCCATGTGATGAGGGCCTACAGAACACAAAGAACAGGGCACTAGAGCAAGGTTCTAAAGAATATGGAAAAGGTTTTAGTGTGGTTTGCAGTATCTGGAGAATTGTCCCACTTCAGATTTATGCTTGCTTCCCAGGAAAGGCCACCCCACTGGAACAGGATAAGTGAGACTCCCAAGCAGGGGCCACTGGCCCATAAAATTTCCCCTGAAATCCTAGTCACGGGGGGCGGGGGCCACAAAAATATCTGAATTCACAAAGAAAACAGCAGTGAAGACAAGCAGGCCCAATAAAGAGGGAAATGAGTGCAGGATACAGAAGAGTTTATTCAAAGTCCAGTACAGACTAGCCAAACTGCCTTCTACAATGTGAATAGAAAGCCTGCAGAAAAGGCAAAAGTTGTTATAAAATCGCTTTAATTCAGTTTTCTCAACATTACAAGCTGTAAGGCAGGCAACAGAATGTGCCACACTCCATATCACAATACTGAGCCTGTAATTGCTGGTATCAAAATATACATCTGTGTCACCATAAAAAACTGTATTTGCTGCCCCTCGTGTCTTACAACAGGTATAAAAAATTATAAATATTTAATCCCTTGTCCCCACCCCAACATGAACACTTGGGGTCCAGGCCCAGGAAGAGGAGCCAGCCAGCACAAGGTTTGTGCACAGGGAAGCCCCTTGGACCCATGAATGTAGGACTATACAAGGTAGAGGAGACAGTAAGACTTGAGGGCTATTGTCCCACCTTAATGGGTCTCAGAGGCAGAAAAAAAAACAAAACTTTGGTCCATGATTTGCAGGAAAAAAGAAACCCTGAAAGTTTAAGAGAGCCCTTGTCCTCCCAGACAGAGGACAGGCTGTGTGTAAGGCATCTGAAGGTCGCAGGCCTGGGGCTTTCTAGGAAGAACCCAGGCGTCTGCCCTGAAACTAGATCCTGCCCTGCAACTTAATTACAAGGAATAAAATAAAAAGTACAGTATACAGGTCATATAAGGAAGAAATTTAGATTACACATACCATTTTTATCATCTTGCTATATAAAAGGTTACTTAAAACTATTTCTTTTGCATATAAATGAAGATTAGAATATTTGGTCAACTGGAATATTGCTAGGCACAGATGTCTGCAAATGCATAAAAGCACAATACAAAGACTTATTATAAAACAAAGCTCCAAGCTGAAGAAGTGCCAGGGATGCACCCTAGAGGGTCTTGGCCCAGGAGGGGCACCTCAAGCCAGGGGCAGGGAAAGGAGAGAATCAAGATTCTTGATTAAATGGAGGATTAGGATGCCTGCAGACCCTGCAGCTGGCAGCCTCCTGTCATGCCAGGCACATGATCCTTGTGGGGAAGCAGTCCCCTGTCCCCAAACCCCTATGTATTTGCTACTGCAAAAAAAGGCCCTGCCAAAGCAGTGGGTTTTAAGGCACAAGAAAGCTGAATGGAGGCTTGGGAACACCCTCCCTGCAGGCTGCAGAAGGGGTAGGCATATTGTCCGCGGGTCACCAAGAGCCTGAGGCTGGCACCCTATCTCCCAAAGGTGAGCAAGGTGAATTAGATTTAATTTTTTTAAAAACAGGTAAACTGATTTTCTCTTTAAAAAAATAAAATCTCTGGTCTTTTTAAGGTCACTTCAGCTGCTTTTTAAAGTGGCTATTTTCTGGAATGATGGAAGTTGTTGCCGGGACTACCCGGTAGGCTGGTCCTTGGTGGGGAGCCTAGATAGTGGACTTGGAGAAGGACACCCGCAGGTGGTGGTTCTCTCCCAGGTCGTGGTTGTGCAGGTCGATGAGTGCCTGGATGGCCTCCTCCACTGAGCCCATCTGGATCAGCGCCATCTTGCGATCCTTCCTGCGGGACAAGGGGTATAGAGACAGCATGAGGTGGAGGGGGGAAAGAGGGGAAGGAGGGCAGGTGGGGAGAGGGTTTCATGCTCACTGGAAGAACTTGAACCCTTTGACAATTCCACCGTTGCTGGAGAACAGCATCTTGAGGTCGTCCTCAGTTATGGAGGGCCTGTAGGGAGAGGGAAGACCTGAGTGGACCACCTACTACCTTGAGGACAATAATTCTCTCAGAGAGGTGAGGGTGGGGCCTGGGGGCTGTTCACTGTTTTAGATACCCATAGATATTACAGAACGACCTTATCTTAAGAGACAAAAAACATAATCCACTTATGTTATGTTATGGCTTCAAAAAATGACACCGAACAGGTTTGCAAAAAATGCCAGCTCCTCCTTCCTTATTTGTTTTGGGGGTGTTTCAGGAAGTACAGAGGCAGCTTATAGCAGGTCAACCTGTCGGAAGGCCCTTCTACCCTTCCCTTTGATCCCCCCACCATGCGCCACCTACGGGATGTTGGAAAGGTGCAGGGTGGCTGAGGGTGGGAAGATGTTCTGGAAGTTCTTGGAGAAAGGCTTCTTGAAGCGGTGGAGGGGTGAGTTCCCGTAGTCTTTGGTGAGGCCCTGGTCCTCCTGGCCCTCCCGGGGCAGCTGTACGTTTTGGTGCTTGGAGAGGGTAATGCGCACAGGCTTTCCATGCAGCTTATGTCCGTTAAGGTGGCTTATGGCTGGAAAGGTAAGACCATTATGACCGAAGGCTCCAGGCACAGGCCTGGTTCCCCACCCCCATCTCGGGCAATCACCACTTACCCAGCTGGGCCTGGCTCCCATCTGCCATCTGTACCAAGGCATTCTCCTTCTTATTGAACAAAATCTTCACCCGTTGCACATCGCCATACACGCCTTCAAAAGTGTGGGGACAGGGTTCTGAGCCTAGGATCTGATTTCGCCTCCCACACCAGCCCCCATGACCCACACACCCTCACAGGACTGGCTCTTCCTGAAGGTTTGCTATTCTGCCTCTGGGAACCTGCGTCTAGTCACAGGGATGTTACCAGGAGGACTACCTTCAGCAAAGAAGTCATAAAATCCAGGAAAGTCAATTGCCACAGAGCCATCACTTTACATGCTACCAACACGCTTAACTCTGCGAGAGCATGCAGGGCAATAAACCATGCGTGTCTACAAAAATCCAAATAAATACACAAACCGAAGGCAAACCAAGTAATGAGGCAGAACTGCAAACTCATAGTATATCTTAGGGCATAAAAATAACCTCAATTAAATGAAAACAAGATAATAAAAGTGTGAATGATAACATACCGAAAAGAATAAAGAGGCTTTGGGGTGTGACTCTCTTTAGAGGACAGCAGAGCAAGGCAGCGGAGGGACAGGGAAAGGGAGAGGTCAGGGGGCGAGTTGCCATCGTCCACCACGAGGAGGCAGCCCCGCAGGCGTGCAGGTTGATGGATGATGAAGTTGTCAGGATGTTAATATTCAAGGGCAGGTTGGTTTCCGGAGAGCAGGGTTTGAGGGGGAATTTTGTTTTTATTTATTTATGGTTTTGTTTTGTTTCAAGCAACAACAGGAAGCAGAAGTACCGTGCAGTCAGTTGGCAAAGAAATTCCGGATCAGAAAAAAAATTGGGAAAGGGGAAGGGGAGAAAAGAAAAAAAGTAGCAAAAAACACAGGTCAGTAAATACATAAGAAAATCCGCAGTGTTCCATCAGTCAGATCTACACACATTACTAGTCACAGGTCCACCTCGTGGAGCAGGCAGGAAAGCACCTGTCCGCACAGTGAGCAGGAGACGCTGCTGCCCCTCCAACCTCGCCCTGTTCCTGCCAAGCCCCTTGCTGGGCTCAGCTCTCCCGGAACCTGTCTCCTGCTGACTGCTGCGGGGAAAGTAAACGCTCACACAAGCACGAGGGGTGGAGTCTGTTAGTGAGGCTTCTAGAGCATCTAATAACTCAGTCAGACAAGGCACCGGCTGCCCCAGGCCAAGAGATTATAGGAGTGGTCACACAGATGAGAAAACAGTCTGAAATGCTAACTGGACATTAATCCCATCTCTGAATAGTTAAATATTTTGAGCCTTGATCTTACCCATGCTCTCTGAGCCAAACTTGGCCCTGAGATAAGTGTAGGTTGGCTATAGTAGGACTATGACTCAGAGTTGTGGGGGCAGCGCAGACCATGGCCCTCCTGAGCAGAGGTGCCCAGAGACCTCCTCAAACAGAGGTGTGTTTGGCTCGAAATTTTGATTGCTTTCATGAAAGTATCAAAAACTATTTCCACTCTATAAACACTATGAAATTGGAAATTAAACTAGGATGTTCAGGGACAGAGCTTCCAGCACAGTGGGACGGGTGAGGAGGATGCGAGCACAGAGTGGACCTGCATAAGATTGGCCTGTGTATGAGAGCTCCAGGAGTTACAGGAGCGTGGCCTGCTGACAGTTTGCATTAAGACCCGAGATAAACAATTCCCCTGCCTGAGCCTCCAGGAATAACAGCCTGAAAGAAAGAGCCACATACCTCAGGGTTGAGGTTGCTGACCAGCAGAACAGAATTTCCAGCCCCTCCCAGGCCTGGGATGGCGATCCGGCCAGCTGCCGCCGCTGCTGCTGCCGCTGATGGGATGGCCAGAGGGGCCAGGGCCCCATGCATATTGGGAACAGAGAGGCCTGCAGGAAAAGGCAGTAAGATGAGCAGCACAGCCTGCTTTCCACCAAAAGGGGAGCGAAGTCCTGCCCATCCTCATGCAAAAGACACACAGGAGGTGTCTGCACTCGGCCTGTCCTGGCTTGCTGGCTCCTTCATCCTCCTAACAGCAGACTGTACTGGGTTTGGACCAGGTTACATGCGCCCATACAGCACAGAAGCTCCAGCTCCATGAATGCAGAATCGAGCCTCGGCCTTGTGTGCATGCAGGTACCCATCACCATGCAGATGGCACACTGGGCAGGACACAGCAGGCTCATGACTGTCACATGGTAGTTGTTACATTGTCGGGCGCCCAGCCCCCAGAGGGACGCTCAGGTGTGCCCACCCAGCTCATGCTGACTTCTTACCAGGACACTTAATTCACCTACTAGGGACACAGCCCTCCAACCATTGTGTGTACACGTCCTTGCCCGGGAGGTGCTTGAAGGAATCAGACCAGAGACTGTGGGATTAGAGTATTCTCTGCGTGGCCCTGTCCTACAACTACCCTGTCCAGGCTCCTCAGGGAACCCAGATGCCCGCGCCCAGGAAGATGGGCTCCCCCCGTGACTGCGCCCGTCAGCTCGCTTGTCGGCAGAGCTACTGAAAGGTGTGTGGGCATGCACAGTCAATTATGGGGACCAAGACCAAGTGTTTGAGTACCTGCAGCTTGAGGAATGGCAAAGGTGGGAGGGAAACCAGCTCCTGCATACGGAGAGGCTGACATTATACCAGGTGCACCTAGAAACAAATGAGACACTAATCATTGCACCCACAACCTCCGCCACCAGAGCCGAGTGAGCCAAGCCGGCGCACCCCACACCCAGCAGGCAGGTCCAATGTCCACCCAAGCTGGGTGCTATGGCCATGTAAGGAGCGATGGGCGCCAACCTCCCTGGGCGCAGGGCGGGCATCCTGGGGCCTGGCCACTTAGACTGAGCTGCGCGTCCTTGCCTATGGCACACGGCAGTAGTGGGAACCTTCCCAGAAATCTTACCAAAGGCTGCGGCCATGGTCTGGTCCAGAGAGGGTTGGCTGTCACCAGAGGGCAGGTCAGGACGGGTGTAGTCTCGGCTCTTGTCGTTGTTGTACTTCACATTGAGGCTGGTGAGCTTAGAGAAGTCGATGCGGAGTGTACAGCAAGCATTGTAGATGTTCTGCCCATCCAGCGACTGCGGGGGAGGGGAAAGCTGTGAGTGGCTGGGGCCCTGGAGCTGAAGAGGGCAAGCAGGTGGCCCTGGGGACCCACTCACCAGCTTAGCATGCTGAGCGCTCACGGGTTCGGCATACTGCAGCAGTGCCTGGAACTGATTGTTCTTGGTGAAAGTGATAATCTTCAGAACTGTGCCAAACTTGGAGAAGATCTGTCAGAAAAGAATAGTTAGCCTCTGCCCAGGGTCTGGATGGAAAATGGGGCACATGGACCCCACCTCACCTGGTGAAGCACGTCCAAGGTGACTGGGTAGAAGAGGTTTTCCACAATGATCCTGAGCACTGGACTCTGGCCAGCCATCGCCATCCCAGCATCCACAGCAGCAGCTGAGGCGGCCAGCGACAGGTTCCCAGACTGAACTGAGTTCACTGCCTGCAAGGCGGCCTGGGCCCGCTGTCGGGGGGAAAGCCATGAGTCCCAATGCCCCCAGGCCACACCAAGAGCCCAGTCCCACCCCAGACCTGGGAGGGGATGACGCACTGCCTGGTTGGGTGAGCTGTCAGTCTTAAGTTCCTTATGGTTGGAGAACTGGATGTAGATGGGCTGGCCACGGAGCACAGGTGTCACCGAGGTGTAGTAGTTCACCATAGTGTTGGCTGCCTCTTCTGTGTTCATCTCAATGAAGGCCTGGTGGGGGTTGGGGCATAAGCCAGACCCAGATTCCTGAGGAAGCCCGGCACCACACTCCTAAAGCAGGCCTAGGGCCCTTCCTGACATGTGCTCACATACCTGGTTTTTCCCTTTCAGCATCAAGAGGTTGGTGACCTTCCCAAAAGGCAGTCCCAGAGAAATGACCTCGCCCTCGGTGACATCACTGGGAAGCTTCCGGATATGGATCACTCTGGAGGGCACACCTGTACTTCTGTTGTCACCTTTGAACTTTTTGCTGTCATTTCCGTTTGCTGAGAAGAAAGGTGGTAAGTCTAACACAGAGCACCTCCCAGGCTCTCACACAGCAACATTCCATTCCCTGCACCTCCTCAGAATCAGCTTCCTCCCGAACAGGATCCAAGCAGTGATCTCCATAGCTTCCAGGTAAGTGCCCATGTATGTACCAGAGCTCAAGGTCACAGCCCAAATCAGTTCACCTCAGTGTCCTTGAAGCCCACCTGGGCACAGAGAGACCCGCTCTCCCCTCCCTCCCACCCCAGACAGGGACAAAGGGTTATGGTCAGCAGTTACCTGCAGAGGCTGAGTTGCTGCTCATGATAAAGGGTCCGTTAGTGACACAGGTAGAGAAGAGCTCGTCCGATCCCCGCTGGAAGAGAGGGTGTGCTAAAGTGTGGCTGGGGGTGGCCTGGCACATGGTTGCAGACACCCTCCTCCCAGAATACCCTGCTGCTCAGATGTGAAGACCCTGCCCTGCACTGTGTCTGTTCCACCTCAAGATGGCCTCACAGCCCCAGATATGGCTTTTCCAAGGTGGGGGAGGGGGGACTGTCACCTACAAGGAGCTTTTCTGGGGAACCCTTACAGGGTTTGTGGACAGGCCTAGCCGGCCACCTTGAGACTGTTAGACTGTCTTTAGTTATCACAAAGCTGCTTGCAAACTTGAGAACAAAGCCCCCTTGTCACACTGCAGCTATTCCCGTGGCCTCCGGAGCTCGGCCTAGTTTCCAGCTGTGTGAGGACACCTGAGCTGCAGCCTCCTCACTCACTGACTAGAAACACTACCTCTCTGTGAGCCAGCAACACTATCTAATGACAGAAAACAGGGTGTGAGGGCAGCTCTAGACTGCTGTAGGCGGACTCCTGTGACTTCTGACCTGCCTGTTTTCTTTTCAGAAACAACCTATTTACTCCCTAAGTCTCAATCTAATTAAATCAACTCCCTGAGCATGTTAGACTAACTCTGGGCTTAGAAAGCAGGCAGACAGGCATCACTCCTGTGGACTGAGGCCCAAGGACAGGACTTTTACTCAGGGGGTGAACTGTATGAGACTGCCGCACACTCATGCAAGTGGAGACTCAGGATGCAGCCCCCACCCTGGACAGGCTCTGCTAGGAAAAAGAACATGAGTACTAGGGACTTGCAGGCTCTAGGACCTGTCTGGGGTTAGGGCAGAGCTGTGACAGGACTTTATCAAAATGAACTAGGACCAAGGTAGGCAACCAGGGGAGGGTATCTACCCCGACCCCCTCCCCAACTTCAGTGCCCCCTCAGGCCTGAAGCAGGAACAGGAAAGACCAGCTCAACTGGGCCTTTGGCTCTCAGGGCTCAAGAGCCTCGCCCCTTCTCCCTCAAACTGCCTTTTCCTCAAGGACACCTTATCTTTGCCCTTCCTCCAAACTGCCAATATAGTTGTTAATCAAACAAGCATAACCATCACCCAGGGCTGCCATCTACCACTGGCAGAGCTGAGGTGCTCTAGAAGCCCTCAGAATCTCCACCACCCCTTGCCCCCCTCCCCGCCCCCCGCTGCCGCTACAGGGAGACGAAGGGAGACGAAGTTTACAAACTCTTCTTCAAGAAGAGGATCAGGAATGGCCACACTACCATTGGTCCCTGCTATGTGGGCATATCCCCCATCCCAGACCTCTGACTAGGCAAGTACCCAGAAGCCCCACAACCCTACCTCCCATAGCCCAAGGCTGTGAGGGCTGCCCACTCCCAGTGGTGCTTACAGCCAAGGAACAGAAAGTTAAAATTGCTGGTTTCTGAGCACTGGGGTCTACTATAAAAAGAAACATGCTGGGTCTGTCATGACTGAGCTTTTCCTGAGTGAATCCAGCTTCAAAGCTCAGTATTGCAGACAAGCCTCAATGGGGACAAAGTCACCAGGCAGAGTGCACCCTCTGAACCTCCTGGTGACACCAAGGGCAGATGAGTCCCACCTGTGCAAGCCTCAAGAAGGTTCTTGCCTATGGACTGGGAGTTCTGGCCCATATCCCTGCCCCCTTTATGCTCACAAAGGTGCCTCCCCCAAAGTTAGACAAGAGCCAGGCACTATGTGGCTCCAACGTGCTGGCTGCACAACCTTAAAAAGGGACTTGACTGCTGTCTCTGACCAATGCCAGGTGGGCCATCATTTAAATGGCAACACTCCTGACTCTTCGTGTTCCCATGGCAATGTGACCCGGAGCTCCCACATTTTTGGACAAATTGTGACCACTTGTCTGTACACATTCCCCTAGGCTCCCCCTTCCCCAGGACACAGGTCAGGCCTGCTAAACAGCAACTCCCCCATCCCCAGAGCACAGGGACACTGAGATCACGACCTGGGCATTTGGGGAGACCCAATGGTACCTTATCCAAAGTAAATTAAGCACCTATTGGAAAAGCCCCCAAGCTGTGTGCTTCCTGCTGGGAACAAGGCACACCTGCTCCCAACAGTATGTTAAGGGGAACCTTTGCTTTTAATCAGTAGCTAAGCATTGTTAATCTCTGGACACTTTTAAATTATTGCACAGCTTGTTCTGTAGCTGGGGTGATGGTCAGTGGTGCCCAGAACCCAACTGTGCTGCCTCCTGGTAACAGGCTGTGCTGCCCTGCTGAAGGCAAGTAGCCACCCACCCACCCATTGGAACCTCAGTGTGTCATGCACAGGTCTGATTCTGAAAGCAGCGGTCCCCTGGGGCTGGACAGGAAGGACCACTCTGAAGAACCACCCCAGACAGAGCTGCTCCAGCTGGAAACAGGCAAAGCCAGGATTATGGGAAGGCCAGACATTTTCTGTGATGGTTACAAATGCTTCAGATGGAAGTCCCTCTCCCCTCCTCCTACCACTGAACAAACAGGTTTTATCTGCAGAAAGATCAGGATAGGCAGCATGTGAAGACAAGACTCCACCTGGAAAAACCCATCCCAGCCGCATGGCTCACTGACCAACCCACCTGCAGTGGATTCCCCAGCCCCCAATTCCTGCCAGCACCGTACCAAATCTATGTAAGCATTCAGTCAGCAGCAGGCATCCCTGGATGCCACTTACTGCAGTGCACACAAGCCCTCAGGTCTTCACCTGAGGGGAGAACTGAGGACCATCATGGCCCCACTTCCTGTGGACAGCCGCTGCCAGCTCTGTCCTTTCTACAGCTTAAATGTCCCAAGTACCAAGGATGGCATATAACGGGGACACAGCACTTTGCCATCAAAAGTAGCACCTCTGGCCCTATCTGGTTTGGCTCAGTGGATAGTATTGCCCTGCAGACTGAGGGTCCCAGGTTTGATTTCAGTCAAGGGCACATGCCCAGGTTGCCAGTTCAATCTCCAGTGGGGGGTATGCAGGAGGCAGCCGATCAATGAGTCCAATCACTGATGTTTCTCTCCCCCATCCTCTCTAAAATAAAATATATATATATATGTGTGTGTTTTTTTTGTTTTTGTTTTTTAAAGAGCAGCACCTCTATACCCTCCTATCCTACCAACCACCTCATAAACCAATAAACTACTTGGGGTACAACCAAGCTTCGACTTTTTCTGTATCAAACCAACAGTACTTAGAACACTTGGCAAATATCCTGCCCCAATCACAGGACAGGGAGAAGGGGTCCCATATTAAGGCCAAAGGTGAATTTACCACTGAGAGGCCACTGAACCCACACAGTTGGAAACACAGTGCCTCGAATTAGCTGGATGCAGGGAGGACAAAGGAAAGGTGCCGAGTGCCCAACCTGCACACAGTCAGCCACACACACACTATAGACCATGGGAATGCCGTTAGAAGGCCCAGTGCTCAGCAGCAGGAGGGAAGGGGCCTACAGGGCAGCAGCAGATCAGAGGCCATGCCAGCTAGAAGGGTAGCAGAGTCAGCAATGCCTACCTTTGTACCAACTGCTATGTCTGGGACAATGCTGTAGAGAGAAAAAAAAGAATGTTAGCAGGTGTACTACAGCAGCTGCTGCTAGGACTCTCAGGATAGGCCGGCCAGCGAAGGGCTTCTCTGGCTGCACAGTCCACCCAATGAAGTCCTCAGATAACTAGTAAGCTTAGGGCAGGGAAGTGAGCTGCCGTCCCTTTAATCTCAACTTGAAAAAGGAGCCATCATTGTCCTCTAGCTCCCTTCCCTCCCAGCAGGCCACCAGACAAAAACACCCCTCCAAAAGCCCCAGGAGGGACACTTGATGCTTATTGTTAAAAGCTGAAGTGCTGTTGTTTGCTTTCTAAAAACTGGAAATGCTTGGAGAATGTTTCAAGCAGAGGAGACTAGTGAGAAGGTAGCTCACAAGGCCTTGGGGTCATAGCTCCAGGGAGATGAGAAAGGGGCTCAACAAGGGAACTCTGTTCAGAGAATGGAACCCTTCAGAGGAAGGAGGCAGCAAAGATGAAATAACCAGATAAAATTAACACAAGTTACTCATCAACCAGGCTCCATGTGACTGGACTTTCTCCCTGCTCCAGGCCCGGCTAGGGAAGGTGAGAAAAAACCAGGGCTGCTGAGGTCCCTGCATTCCTCAACTGCACACCAGCTCTCAGTACAAACATAAAACCCTCCTGCGGCTTCTAAATGTAAACTCACAAGGTCCTTAATGACTCAAGGAGGATGGAGGAACTTCCATCCTCCACCAGGTCACCTGGCTTAGTGGTGTGTGACCAGAGCCTCCCATGATGTCACACAAAGATGTCCCCCTCACTAGCCAGGGGAAGGCTAAGTCTCAGAATGAGCAGAAGATCTGACACTCCTGCCCCCAAGTGCTACACCCTAGTCCTGCCATTTGCTGCACATCTCACTGGTTCATTCTAACCCACTGCCTCTACTGTAGGGCTTTCACCTCTTCAATATAAAAAACATTATGGGCTAGTGTCAAGAGTTTTTAAAACCTTATAGCAGTAGTTCTCAACCTTTCTAATGCCATCAACCTTTAATACATTTCCTCATGTTGTGGTGACCCCCAACCATAAGATTATTTTCGTTGCTACTTCATCACTGTAACTTTGCTGCTGTTAATGAAACATAATGCAAATATCTGTGTTTTCCGACGATCTTAGGCTTTACAGCAGCGGTTTGCAACTCACAGGTTGAGAACAGCTAGCAGAGACGCCTAAGACCGTCGGAAAACACAGATATTTGCATTATGATTCTTTAACAGCAGCAAAGTTACAGTTATGAAATAGCAACGAAAATAATCTTATGGTTGGGGGGTCACCACAACATGAGGAACTGTATAATGGTTGTGGCTTCAGAAAGATTGAGAACCACCGCCTTATAGAGTGTCAAGGAAAAACTCAGAAAAACGAAAAGAATGAAAAACATGCAGCTTCCCCTCTGCTAACCCAGGGCAACACATTGCTCCTTGAGAGGGAGCCTGAGGCAGTTTTACATAAAATGGCTCTTCTTAAAAAGGGTTTCAAACCTTCCAAAGAGAACCTGGCTGCCTCGGAATACCTCACAATTCAAAAGTAGCTGCAGATGGAACTGAGCCACCAAGCCACATCTTTGGGGGCAAAACACTCAAAAGTCCTTGAGGGAAGAAAAACAGAACCAGACCAGACAGTCCCCCTTTCCATCAGATTTCTCTGCAGGGCCCCTTAAACTCCCACTCATGTGCACCCACAGCCCGGCCAGCTGAACTGGCAATGCCCTGGGAGATCCACCCAAAACGGAAGGTGGACCCCAGATCACATTCCTCAGGCACCAGCAGTTTCTCTAAAAGGCTGAATTTAATTAAGCCTGAAACGTATCATTTAAAACCAGAGGCACAGAGATAGTGACCGTCCAGACATTCTAACTACACACACCTCCAGATCTAAAGATAAGAACTGCCTTTGGGAATCTTCTGGCTCCCTTTTTAAAAACCAGAACCTAACCCTCCCAAGGGGAAATGAAAATAATCACACTAACACGAAAGAAGAAAAGGCCCTGTTTCAAGTTAGTTTCATTTTTAACAAGTCCTATCATTTTTCCCCTCAGACCAGAAAAAAAAAGAAAAGTCCTTAAACTGGACAGACTCATGTCCAGTTTAAGGACTTTACAGCTTTGTGCGCTGGCCCTAAATCTCAACCGTCAAGTGGATAAGCCTTTTTAAACCTCAGATCTGCTTAAGGTTATGATAATCTACAACATAAAATCTAATTACCCACCGCCCTCCCCACTTCTCTCGTCCCTGAAACGCACGCCAGCCCCGGAGGGGCCCCTTCCCTCTCCCAAGGCGGCCGAAAGGCCGTTGGCCGGCCGGCCAGCCGGCTCCACTGCCCGAAAGTTCGGGGCCCAGTCGCGCCGACCCACGTGGGCCGTTCCGCGGACTCGAGGGCCTGTAACTCCGCGGCCGGAGTGAGCCAACTCCTGCTTAAAAGGACTCCCGTACAAGGAGCTCCGGGACGGCGGGAACAAAGGGAACGCGGGGGCCCCTCCCCGACATCCCCGGTCCGGGAGCTGAACCGGGAGCGCGGCGGTTCTTTGTGGGAAGCCGGGGAGGGGCCGGGCGGGGGCGGAGGAGGGCCCGCGCCCTTCCGGACAGAAGGGCGGCGTCTCCCCGGCGCGCCCGGGACCGCCGCGGGCGGGGGAGGCCGAGAGCAAAGTCGGTGCGGCGGGAAAGGCTGCGCACGCGCACCGGGGCCTGAGAAGAGTCCGAGTAACTGCGCACGCGCGCGTGGGGGCCGGACGGGGAGCGGGAAGAACCGGACGGGGACCGGGAAGGGCCGCCCGGATAGCAGGAAGGGGCACGTGGAAAGCGCAAAAGTTAGCGCGGGGGTGGGGAAGACCAGCGGAAAGGGTCGCGCGGCCGCCGCGTGTGTTCGGGACAAACCGCGGAGAGACCGGAAACGAGCACGACGGTGGGAAGGGCTGGGCCGGCCAACCCCGGGCTCGGGAAATACCCGAGATCTCTCGCTCCAGGGAGCCTCCCTCCCCGCCCGCGGCCGGGAGAGAGGAAAGATCCCGGAGGCGCTGTGGCCCCGGCAGGCAAGCCCTTGCTCCGAGGAGGCCCGGTCGGCCGCAAGAGTAAGGCTGGAGCGCGAGAAGAGGGGCGGGAAGCGCAGATAAACATGACTCACCCGTCCATTGCACACAGAAGAGACCCGCTAGGGACGGAGTGGAGGCGCTGGAATAGCAGGAACCGACCCAACGGCTCCGAGTTATAGACTCACAAAATGGCGGAGACGCCTGAACACGTCCCTCGCGCGCTATGCCCATTGGCTCCCGCTGCTCTGGGAGGCGGGGCGAGCGCTGCGGACCCCCACCAGCGCCGCCCAGTGGCTAGGAGGCCTCCTGAGGGGTGGAGTTAAGAGGAATGGCAGGCGACCATTGGAGAGCGTAGCCGTCCATCAGGGCTCAAGGCGGAAACGGCCCATGGAATCGGGGGAGGGGAGAAAAGGTGGGGGCACGTGACAAATCTTGAACCAATGAGCCAGCATCCCTCCTGCCTAGGGCTTTGCGGGAGTAGCCATCTTGAGAGTGGGTACGTGGCGAGTCCGGCGGCGGGAAGCGTGCTCCCCTTAGGTTGCCACCATCTTGCAAACGGGCAGGTTGTTGTCCCTCTCACGCGGGAGAGCAAAGGGAGGCTTGTCGCCATCTTAGGGTCGGGCGGGACACCTAGTAGGCTCCATCTTGCTTGTGGGCACGTGGCAGAAAAGTCTGATTCAAATTGAGACGCTGTTCCTAGGTTAGTAGGCGGGGAGGCAGAGGCTGCCAGCTTAACGCGTCCCAGACTCCAGGCCCCAATTCTCACTGCTGGCCACCGAGCCTGCAGGCGCCTGTGGACCGGGATCGCCCGGACCGGCCTGTTTTAGAGCAGCGAAGGCCCCGTGCAGCGGTGCACACGCGGAAATTGAGGCTCGGGGGTGGGGTGGGGTGGGGTGGGGTGGGGTGGGGCGGCGCACAGGGGACAGCCTCTGCTCTGCACACGGGGAATCTGAGCCGGGGCTGCAGAAAGCAGAATCCTGCCATCGTGGGAAATTCAGAACCGAGTGCGGCTCCATCCCAGCAGCAGGAAAAAAAACACCCTAAATATATTCCCAAGAGTGCTGATTCCGGACTTAACAGGGTTGTCTGTGTCAGGGTTGCCCCTTTGGAGCGATGACGGGAAACCAAGGCCAGAGAGGTGAGGAGGGGGAGTTCCACGTGCGATCTGCGAGGCCAAGCCGGGAGGCTCGCGCGGGTCGGCTCCCCCGGCGCTGCAGGTCGCACAGGCGGCGGAGCCGATGGTGAGGTTCTCGGTGCGGAGTAGAAGCTCAATAAACAGAGGAAGCTGAAGCTGCTGTGATCATAGCCCCCCGGAAAGGGGGGCTTTTAAATGGCACCAGCCTCGAGAGGGAGAGGCCATGACATTTTTCTCTGCCTCTCGGGTTGGTGTCATGTCACCAGCCAGCGCCCGTAGTCCTGGCAACAGCACTGCCAAGGCCGGCGGCCTGGACGCAGCCCAGGGGTTGTAGGAGCCGGAGGGCTGCGGCGGGCGAGGGGCGGCCTCCGGCTTACAGGGAGCCTCCTGCGCCGCGGCTTTCTCTCCCGTCTCAGAATATCTGAAGCCCCAGAATCACTAATCATGAGGAACGTTCCAGGGGATTCTTGGGTTTGCTCCCTCCCAGACTCCCATCCAAGCTTGGACGTGGGTACCACCAGGGCCAGTTGCTCATCTTTTGGTGACCAGTGCCAAGGCTGCCTCCCCACCCCCAACCCTAAATGCCAGGAGTGTCTCAGCCCGGAGAGAGGAGGGGCAGCTGACATTGGTGGGGGCCTAAGCCATCAGGATTGTGTTATAACCCACTTCTGAGCATGACCCTCCCAGGACTCGCGTCTTGCTCAGAGTTCAAGCCCAAATCAACCTTGCAGCCCAGGAGGCCCCACCTCACACCATTGGCCACCTTTCTGGTTTCTGACCTCACTTCTGTGGGCCTCCTTTGTGCAGCGGTTCCCTTCTGGAAGATTCTTCCCTAAATCTACACAACTCCCTCCTTTATTCTCTCGCTTTCTGAAGGCCAGAAGCCTGAAATCAAGGTACCAACAGGCCCACGCTCCCTCCGGAGGCTCCAGGGGCGGAGCCTTAATGCCTCTCAGGTTATGGGGCTCCAGACTCTTGACTTGTAGGCACATCACTCTAGTCTCTGACTGGGATCACATGGCCATTTTTCTCCCTTATTTTCTCTGTCCCTTCTCTGTTTCTCTAACATAGACCATTTCTCATTGGATTTAGGGCCTGTCAGGGTAATCCCGGAAGATCTCACCTCAAAACCGGACGAAAGGGGCCACATGCTGACCTGACAAGCTCAGGGAGGGCCTGCATGGCAGTCTTGCAAACTCTGAGACCTCAAGTAACCACAAAGGAGGGTCTGAAATTAAATTTTAAAAGCAGTTATGGGGGATAGTCACGTTCTAGGCCGGTATCTTTACTGACAAGGTCAACCTGTACCTTAACTGAGCCCGTCTGTCTTTTTCCATCTGTGATAACATACCCTTGAAATGTCTGGGTAACTTGTAACTTTTTCTGGACCTCTTGGGGCACAACCAAATGTGGTGGGCACCAGGACAGATACCACAAATTCCTTCCTTGTTAATTATTCCTGCAGCCACCTAAGTATGTGTCTATCATTTTACTTTTTAATCCAATCCCAGAGGTTTCTCTTCTTTGCTTTCTCCAGTTTCTCTAATTTATCACCAATGGATTTCATGTTACCCCAGCTATGTGCCTCCTTAGATTGATTGCAAAATATAAAAATAGAGGAAAACCCACCATTCTCCGGAGCACTATCCCAATTCATTGAGATGTTGCTTCCTGGCAATTGTCAACAGTTTGGCTCAAATAACCTCACAAAAATTCTTTACAGGTTTGAATTTTTTTTTTAATGTTAACATAAAGACCCTTTTTCCCGAATAAGGTCATGCTCATAGGTTCAGGGATTAGATGTTAATATAATCTAATATGGCCCCTTAACCCAACAGTTCACAACGCCATCTGAAACTTGGGCCAGCAACAAAAGGATGCCGGCGGGGCCTTCATGGTTGCAGCAAAGGCTTAGGGCAGGGCCCGGACAATTAGACCTGGGCCCCTGGTTTATTTAGGGGAGCCAGCCTCCTCTTTGTCTTCCCTTTCCCGTCTCAGTGCTTCCATCCTAATCTTGCCAGCCAGCTGCTTCCCTCATGAATGATTCAGGGTGAGTGCAGCCACACGCTCACCTTGCAATTGTTTGATAATTTTGAAAACGATACTCTGTGGCAGGAGCAAGGCTGGCGAGTGGGAGCCAGATGGGGGTGGGGGACAGGTATTCCCGGGCTTTCATTCTCTTCTCAAGTCAGATGGAAGTGGAGGAGGGAGCCTCAGTTTATCTCTTTGTCAAAATAGAGGGGCATGGCCAGGCCTGTCCCTCTTCACCTCCCTGCGGTTTACCTTCCTGTTTCCAATAGAAATAGCTTAATGGTTTTGGATTTAGTCCCCTGTTTGTTTATCCATTGCCTAGATTACAAAGCCATGGTTGTAGGGGATCTGGGTTTGTGCTTGGGCAAGTCTCTCACATCTTCTCTCCCCCAGAGGGCCTCCCAGACTTTCTGACCCTTCTTCCACATTTCTGTGGAACTGAAGTAGAGCATAAGGAGATTAAAGAGACAACTCCCAGCTCCTCCAAGCTGGAGCTCCTCCCCCAGCCCAGCTGGGTGGCCTGAACCCTCTCCTGGACCTTCTGGAACTCTCTCTGGCCTGAGAATATTCAAAATCTGCCTCCTGCCTGGGCCCATCAGGGAATAGCTGACTCCCCAGCTTAACAGACCTCAGCGGGTCCCCTCCTGCAATTAGGCCCCAGGCTCTTCCTCCACTAACCCTGCCAGGCCCTGCCCAGCCCCTTCCCTCAGGCCCTCAGGTGGTTAACTCCCTAGCCCTTCCCCGCCCAAACCAGCCGGTTTGCCCCTCCCCTCAGGAACCCACCCTCTCCCAGGCCTTTCCTTAGGGCTAGAACTTTGTTTCCGCCTTCAGCACTACACCACCCCCAGGCTGGGAGCTCAGCTAGTGCTGGGTGCCTTCCAGTTATAACTCCTTTCCCCCCCCCCCCCAATATATTTTATTGATTTTTACAGAGAGGAAGGGAGTTAGAAACATCAATCAGTGAGAAACATCGATCAGCTGCCTCCAGCACGCCCCCCCACTGGGGATGTGCCTGCAACCAAGGTACATGCCCTTGACCAGAATCAAACCTGGGACCCTTCAGTCCACAGGCCAACGCTCTATCCACTGAGTCAAACCAGTTAGGGCCAGTTATAACTTTTTAATCCTCTGAGTGTGAAGTATTATCAATTCCTTTCCCCAGCCCAGAGATCAGAGACTTTGAGTCAGCTGCCTGAGCCTCTTAGCCTGTGAGATAGCTCTCCCCCACAGGCTGCTCCGCCTTCCTTGGGGCAAACAGGCCTGTCCACACAGAGTCCACACAGAATGACCACCTGACCCAGCAACACTTTTAGGTATGTGCTCAGGAGAAATGAAACTCACATTCGCACAATCACTTGGACAGGAGTGCTCACAGCAGCCAAAAGTGTTCATTGACAGACGAACAGACAAACAAAACGTGATCCAGCCACAAACACAGTGGAATATTACTACTCAGCCACGAAAAGGAACGAAACAGTGGCAAGCCAAAATGTCATCAGAGTCCCTGCTGTCACCTGTGGCTCCTAAGGGCTAACACTGACCCTTATCTCCCGGCCTGTGTGCTGGTCATTTTTCTCCACTGGGAAGTCTGTCCCTCAACTGTCCTCTCAGGAGGGGGTCACCTTGTGCAGCCCGTGGAGAGGGGTGGGCCAGGGGTCTTTCTGTCAAGTGGTCAGGAGCCCAAATGGCTCAAAGTCATGTCGGGGCTCCTGCTGGGCACTGGGCTGTGCAGGAAGCCTGGGCCTCGGGAAATGGACGGTAAACACAAAACTGAGGGCAGCAAACACCAGCCTGCGGCTGCTGTGAGCCCAGCAGGAAATGCCAGAGAGAAAGGCCGGAAGGGGCTGGGATAGGTCAGGGCAGCCTCCCTAAGCAGCCACATTTAATTTGAGGGGGGAGGGTGGGCACAGGACTGCTGAGCCAAGAGTGTGGAG